CAAGATTCAAAATATAGCAAGGATTTAAGAACAAAAACTAATTTGCAATGGCAACGAACAACATGTAAACAGGCAATGGATTTTGAAAATCAAGGGAATAATGAAAGACTGAATTTAAAGCGGAAAAAAATTGTGACTTACCGAATCGGGTCGAGAACAAGGACGCCGAAGTAAAGTTCGCCGGAGACGGACGAATGTAAAGGTTTCGCCGGAGTTACGGAACAGAGCACAGTTGCAGAAGGCTTTGAAGGTATAAAAATGGCGATTTGGGAGAGAAACGTTAGAGAAAGAAAGTTTGAAGACAAAATACTCAAAAGTGAAGAGACGGAGAGAGAGGGAGAGATTTGTCAAAATTGTGAAAAGGCGGCAAACCATAATGAATATGCCTTGGACGACGTATCTGTCAAGCGGCGTGCACAGAAGCGACGCGACCTGATAGCACATGTCAGGTACAAACCAATGAAGGAGCGACGCGTGGAGAAAATGGTTGAGTAAACCGTGCGTGACAGCTCATGAGCAGATTAAACTCTTGGAATTCTTCATTTAATGAGGCAAAAACCTCGGCTAGAGGAACGATATTGGTTAAGAAACTTAAAAGAACTTGGTCATCGATTCATGGCTACTGATAAAGATGGACAGTTGATATGAAGCCGATGAGACATGATCTCGATCGAAGAAAACAGAGAACTCTTGGCCAACATAAAGTTTGGACGAACGGTGTAGGTTCCATCACCTCAAATTACCGAGGTAATAGAACCTAGGGGGTAGTTGTGGGGGCATATTTCGTGAATGATAGCACGTGGCTGAGGTGGCGCTGACGTGTCAGCCGGAGTGCCACATGGCTTGGTCATGTGCGATATGATCTTGACTAGGCCGAGGTTATCTTTGGAGATAAAGGAATCCGAGGTGAACAGATAAGGGACAAGAGTCCTAGAATAGAGGAGTACCTCAGTCAGGATAAAGATAAAGCTCTTAGAGAATTTATCTCTATCTAACTGGGAGTCCAAGATGATCATTGAGTTAAAGTCCACTGAAGCTAGGCTTCTACAGGGATCAGGTTGGTGCTGGCTATAAAAGTAAGGCACCATCGCGGGTCTAAGGTATGCTTTTTATGCTTTATCTAATGAGTTAAGCACTATTGGTTATCTTTGAGAGACATTGATTACTGACTTGATCGTTAGAGTGCCTCCGGGTGGACGAACCACCAGCGGATTCTTATCTTTCAGTGTCAAGTTGTTCGGGCTTAATCTATTCTGCTGATGCTCTCCTGCTGAGTTTCCCTGTTTGGTTGTGTGGTCGAAAATCAACACCCATACACACCATTTAAAATTTAAATGAAAATTAAAATAGGAGAAAGCAAAGTAAAATCATAAGATACAAAGTAAAATTTAAATAAAAAATGAAGAATAAAAGTGTAATTTGCTAATACATATACTTACAAGCTAAATCAATTCATTAGTGACATATTGGATTCAAATTTGGTTAAAGGTGCTAAACGTTCAATAATCTATTGCCCAAAAACATCATTCACTTATGCAAAAATCAATCATAGAATTGAATATAACTTTCTCACATGAGTATAGAATTCAAAAAAAAAATAAGTATAACTCACCTTATGTGAGAAGGTTGTGTCTAATTATACAATCGATTTATGATTTGATAAATTTTCCAAAAAACAAATGAGGATAGAAAATGGAACAAGAGGGGACAAAACCAACTGAAACATTCAAGCACATACATATTCTCTTACACTGTGTTTGGTTGGGAGATTTGAGAAGATATTTGGAAAAGTAAAGAGAAAATATGTGTGAAATTAGATGAAATGTAAGTATATTTTATTCATATTTCACTTACATTTTTCTTTTTTGTTTTCAAATTTCTTTCCAAATTCCTTAACCATACACAACGTTAGTTTTTCTATTTTTGTTTACTTGTAATGTCAAAATAAGGAATTTCACCTTGTTATAAGGAATTTCACCTTGTTATTATAACAAGACATCAAAGAAAGAAAGAAAAAAAAAAGTGATGGTATGAGTGGCTGGCTGTTGTAACTATAGGCAGACTCTGTATATTGTGTCACTGTCATCATCTTCAATTATGTCCATGTGAAAATGTTGTCAAAATAAAGCAAACAATTTTTTTCTGGACCACCTCTGAGAATCTAAGATGATGAATTTTATGTAACTTTCATGCCAAGTTATTCACTTTTATCCAGAGCTCCAACTTTACACTCACCAATTAATCTGTGCATATTGAAATCCTTCAGTGTGCAGCACATGACACCTTATATTATAGGGGAAAGTACATACAGGTGGAAATTGAGAAAAAAAATTACAGGTGGAAATTGAGAAAAAAAATTACAAACACATGGGAGGTATAAGTATGTCTATGGTGAAATACAAATAAAAAGTTGTGAGAGTGCAAATACTTCCACCCCTCCATGTATTGGTAAAAAAAAAAATTTCAACTCACACCTGCATGTAATTCCTCCTTTATTACATTACTAAGTACTGTTCAATCAATCCCAAAGGCACTCAAAGCTGAAATTCCTAATCAAATTAATGTACTTGCATGGTCAAAACAATTCATTATTGCTTTATTAAGCACAGGAAACTCATGTCGTGGCAAAATTTGAAGAGGTTCAAATACATGCAGTCTTTAATTATTTTTGTATGAGCGGATTGGATTATTGAAATGAGATCTATAGTAAGCTCTACAAACTCGAATATGATATAGTTAAGTTTAGATTTGAATTTGAGATAAACCTCTATCGCATGCAAGTCATTTTCTATTTGACTGTAGTGAACTAACACATCTAGTTATATGACAGAAAGACGTGCTGGTTGTGTGGTTTGCAAACATGGCTTGTCATTATCACTATCCTTGTTAACACAAACACCCCGTATAAGCTACTCCATTCCATGAAAATAAATAAATAAATCTTTTATTGATTTGTCCCTTCCTATATAAGAAAACAATGAGAGCTTGTTTGGATATTTACGCTGTGTTTGGTTGAGGGATTTGAGAAGAGATTTGGAAAGACAAAGGGAAAAAGTGCGTGAAACTAGGTGAAATATAGGCATGTTTTATTCACATTTCACCTACCTTTTCCATTTCCCTTTCTAAATCCCTCCTCAAATCCCTAACCAAACACAGCATTAAGATTTAGTTGAGCACCACCTATACCAACCTCTCTGTCTTTGCTAAAGGCCAACAAGTTTTGTTTGGTTAAAAACAGCTTTTTTTTATATAGGTGTTCATATACAAACATAAATTGTACTTAGAATTTTTATACATAAATATGTGGCCTTTATCCACCTTTTATTTTTAACTAAAGCCCCCTTTATTATGATTTATTATTTCTAAGTGCCATATCATTCTATTATTTGCACATTGTAAGAGTAAGAAAAAAAAAATGTGAAAAAACTTCTGAGTTGTATGCTTTATATTATAAAATATAATAGATGAGGAACCCCCACCAAGGTTGGGTCTCTTTGGACCCAATTAGTGGTGGGAAAATTCACAATACCAACAACTACCACAGACCATAGGTAAAGATAAGTCAAGGTATTCTCAATAATAGTTGAACTCATAAGGTTCTTCCCAAAATATAACTTAGTAATGAAATTTGCATGCATATCAACTGGCTTGATTCGTATCGATTCATAGTTTATTCACAATCAATATAGTCATCAATTTGATTACTACAAAACTTTTTTTTCCTATTGATATTTTTAAAAAAATACGATTGTGACACCTAATTCTTAATATATATCACTTGTACTTTTTAATATCGATACATCTCTTAATACCGTTATTTAATATCTTCAGGGTTAGATTAAAGGCAAACCTTCCAGAGAGAGCCTTTGGTCTTGTCAATTTGGTGTGGACTAGACACCACTAAGCTTCTTCTCAAACCAGCCCTTAAAAAGCAGAGACATGTTGGCAAGGTACAAGAAGAGCTGAGCACGTCCAGCACAACCACACTTTAATATATAGTAGAAGGGCAAAAAAGCAATCAAAAACAAAGGAATAGACATAGCCCCAATGGCAAGCAAACTTTATGAACCCAATCTGCTACAAGACATGTGCAAAAAGTAAAATACAAAAAAGCAATAAAAACTACATATATATGCACTTCTCAAGTGGGTACATATCCTTTATTTTATCTAATCTTCCACTTTACAGTTTTTATTTCTATTTGTTGATTTAAAAGGGTCCCCCAAGTCCAGCTCTAAAGTTCTGCAAATCTTGCATATCTTCTGACTTAATTCTATCTAACATTTGGTTTATTAATTAATCACCAATAATTAAATCTTTGTTTTAGCTTTAATTATAACGTACACGCAATTGAAGCTTACAAAGTTGAGTACAGCATGGTAGTTGTGCTACTTGCACAAAAAAAATTCACAGAAACTTGCACACAAGAGAGACAATCGGATGAGGCCACATGTGCTTATATTTTCAAATACATTAGTAAAAAATTTAATTATTGGCATATCTTAAGTTGTAAGTAGAAATTACGCCAAATACATTAGTAAAAAATTTCAAATTTAAAAAATATATATAAATAAAAGGGTAAATTATAAATACACTCCCTGAGATTTTTTTAAAATACAAATTGCCTCATGTAATTTGAAAAATTATGAATACCCCTCTGTTATAATTTTTTATTTAACTGAATTAACTGAAAAAATGAAATTCATAATTACTCTCCTAGACAATAATAAAATTACCTAAATTATTAATTGAAACATATTTCTAACATCATTAAAAACTATTAATTGACTTGATAATTTATTAATAAAATAGGTAATTTGTTATGAAATTAGAAATCTCAAGAGTGAAATGTAATTTCTAAAACTATAAGAGGCAATTCGTATTTTAATCAAACATTAGAGGGTATTTGTAATTTATCCTAAATAAAAACAGTAAGCAACTCTAATAAGCTGCACCGAACAGGGCCTTCCTCCTGCACGTTTTTTATACTAGGATGAGACATTACTAGTAATTATCAGCTTTTCTACAATTATTTAATTTTTTTCTTTTGTACAGGAAGAAGCCTCAGTGATTTATAATGACTTTTTGGAATGGTTGGAAACAACCCACTTGAGAATTTTGCTTTGGGATTGCTCCAACTGAGACATGGGAATCACTGGGGAACTAGTGAGAAGTGTCTTCTCCAAAAGCCACTCTGTTGGAACTCATGACACCAATGTGAGTCATTCAATTCCTCCCAATCTTTAATTCCTATTAATAATTTCACTCCGCTCATGTATTTCTCTCTGTATTGCCTTTGTTTGATTAGGCAAGGAACAGTGCAGTGGAGAGGAGAAGATGGAGGAGCTCAGTGAGGTCATACCTGTGTGGAGATGAGTTCAATTCAGTTGCTGCAGAGGAGGATTCAGCTTCTGTGAGGAGCTATGGACCAACTATGATACAACAACCAATGCTAGAGAGCTCTGAGGCCTCTGTGACACAACCCATATTGGAGGACTTAGCTGAGAAAGAAGATATCCAAAGCAATGACACCAAGCAAGAGTTACAAGAGGAAAAACAGAACTCAACTGCCACTCTGTTTCGCAGAGAAGACGCAGCATTAGTCATCCAGTCAGCATTTAGAGGCTTTCTGGTCAATACAAAATTACCATGAAAATTTGATTCTTTTTTTTAAAATAAATAGATTTTGGTTTGTTATAGCAATGTGAGTGCTGAAATTTCAGGCTAGGCGTCGAAATGGAGCAATTGAGACAGTGGATGGTAAGCTGGGGGTGCTTGGAGGAGGAGAAAGTCCAAGTAAAGAGTCTTTGGGGACATCAATTGAAGTTCAAACTGGAAATTCTATGGAAGTTTTCTCAATTCCAGAGGAAACCATGACTGTCCACCATCGATTCCAACAGCAGAAAGCTAGGACTCCTGTGTTAAAACTAAAGGTAAGTTTTTAACAGTTACGAAAAAAATTTATAATGTGGTAATCACTTGAGGGAGCAAAAAAAAGTGATCTAGTGCACGAGACTCATGTTAAAGCAAAGTAGGATCTTAAAATCATTTTGCTAAGAATAAAAAGAATTCGACTCAAATTTCCAGAACACACGCCCAAATGGGAATTCATTTGATTTAGTAGTCTTTGACAGTTTGTTGAAAACTTCTAAAACTTCAAACAAAATTTTTGGAAAACGAGACTTTTTTTCAACTCCTACTATATTTTAATACACAGCTTTTGCAGGAAGATTGGGATGATAGCACAGTGAGTAGCAATATATCAAAAATGAGGATGCAGAACAGACTGGAGGCAACAACCAGGCGCGAGAGAGCTTTAGCTTATGCTTTTTCACAACAGGTACAACAAAAATTTATATACAATATGAGTTTGGGGAACTAGAGAAGAGTGAACCAATTCTGCTTTTTTCCAATCTGTTTATTACAGCTCCGAATATGTTCGAAGAAGAAACAAAACAGATCCGATGGCACTACTGAACCAAACATGGGTTGGAGCTGGCTAGAGCGGTGGATGGCAACTCGTCTTCCAGAAAGTTCCCCTTTTGAAAACAGTGCAAGTTCGATCAACATTAACCAAAGATCAATGGTCGCAAGGAGACTTTTCGATGTAGGAGGTGAAGAAAAGGAGAGTTGTGGATCGAATGATGTGTCTGTTCAGTTTGATAGCATTTCAGTATCAGCAGCAAGAGAGAAAGATGATACTAAACCAACTAAAAATAGGCTCAAGGCCACAAGAAACAAATCAAGACGGAAAACTTTTCCGAGCTACAATTATAAGGTAGAACATGTACGTTTGGTATGAAGGAATGGAATGCCCGTTCTAGCATTACTCTTTGAAATAACATGTCTTACTGCAAACTAAGTCATTTTTTACATCTTTTGTGTACTGTTAGTTTCTTTATATTGTTCTGCTTCTATTTGCTATAGGTAAGCAAGGAGTGTCCAGGGGAGGATGAAAATGATAAAAAGCAGAAGCAGAAGCAGGCAGGAAGAAAGAGAGAAAACACATGTAAAGATGCAACAGTCTCGCCTGAAATTGCAGCCAGCGACGACAGCTGCAAATTGGGTTTTTATTGAATCTGTCAAGAGTTTCTTCAGTTGTGTTTGGGAATGTATTATGTGTGTAGTGGCTGCTTCTAAGTTGAATTCACTTTGTACATGTTATGACTGAAAATCAGTTTCTTGGTTGATATAAATTCTCAAGCATCAACAAACATGTCAGTTTTACTTGCAATCACCCATAAAACACTAGTCAGTGAGGAACTTAAAACGATTCAAGTTTACAACGCTCATCTCCTTAACTACTCATGCAAGTTCTTAATATTCTCCTCAAATTTAAGAGTAAATTATGCCAAAGTCCTAAAACTTGGCATCTTTTTTTTTTTTTTTTTT